TAAAGTGAGCGTGTGTGAACCAACTAAAGACAGTTTTCCCAAGAAAGTTATGCAAGTCTTTTTTTTGAGGGAGGACTTAATCTGATTCTATCATCAGTTATGGAATCAAAGCATGTCTCTCCTTTTAGATGTCACTTAACCATTTGCTTTAACTAGTTGTATGGCAAAAACTTTGCCATACCATCAAATTCTTCCCAATTCCCAAATTTTTCTTCTTAGAGAATGTTTATGAACCACCACATTAGACCAATTTCATAAAAAGTAATACGTCTTTTTATCGGTGTAATAAACTTTCTGATTTTGAAAATGATATGGAGCCGAAGCAGCCACGTGAACAAATTGTGGAAGCTCCGTTTGGGCGTTGAGCTCTTTTCTATGACTAGTTGCATGCCAAAAACTTTTGTATTCTATGAAAGTTAAAAGATGTGGCAGTCTTCCAAATAAGGAAGTTTTGATTTTTAACCTCTTTGGTTTTCGTTTGTGCTTTCCAAGATAACCAAGAATGCGACATCCCTTGCTGTCCAGTAATTCCGGCAAAGATTTTGCACATGCGCAAAAGCCTCGATGATGAAGACTTTTGGTCATAAGACCTGGCTGAGCCACCTGTTTTTGGTCTAATATAGCTCTGTGGATATGCTATTTGTTAACTGGATGATAAATGTGACTTTGCAAACAAGTTAACCAAAATTTGTTAATGGCTTGTCTCTGTGGCAGCTTCAGGATGAGAATTTCTCGTTTCAGAGAATCGGTTTTTTAATTACAGGATCATTTCATGTTATTTATTTTATCATAGAAATAATTTATGTTTTCTTGGGTAGTCTTCTTCTAATTTGCCATATTCGTGATGGCTGGCGTCGCTGTTAACAAACAATTACTTTTTGAATCATAGAGCGCTTCTCGATCCCGAAAATCGTAGAGTCTAAACCAAGGTTATTACGACGGACAATCAAAATAAAGGTAAATGTTACAAGAATTTAAAGAAAACTTGGAGTAAAATCAAGTAAACCGCCTCAAGCGCGAGAAAGCGCAAATAAACAAGTGGTCTGTACTTATTGTCTTTTACCTGATTGGTTTAGCGGAAGGCGTGCATTGCAAAGAATTGTAAAGCAAAGCCCATGCAATCCCAGATCTCCTCGACGCTCATTTAAAAATTTCTTTGCTTGTAAAAATCTTATTGGAGCCTCGAATGCTTTTGGTTGGTGGAAATTTTATACCTCTTCTGCGAAAATCGCAAAAACTGTCTTGTCTTTTTTTCCAAAAAATAGCTACTACATCACGATTTTGCTTCTTTCTCGGAACTCTTGAACTAACTGATATCCAATGTACTAAAAAAATTTAACAAGCATAAAGGGACAAGTTTTATCCCGAGCAACGATTCGCAGTTATGCGCACAAATCGCATTACTTGTTCACTGTAAAGTCAGAAAAGCACACGCCCTCAATTTTTGCCGATAGCCTTAAAATTCCTCCAACATCTTTTTTTTCTTTTTTCATAACTTTGAAAAGTTTTTCATTCATTCCGGCAGCGACCTTCCTTTTGACGAGATTTTGTTGCAGATTTATTTAGTTTGAAAGTTGATATTCCGAGCGTTAGCTCTGACGAAGGGCTAACTCTCGTAACGTCAGCTTTGGCAAACTCTTTACGGTGGCCAATTTACGTTATCAATTCGGCTGATAATACTAAATTATCCTGTTATACTCTACCACCGACGCAGCACCACAGTTTCTTTAGAAACTTTTCCCCTTAATCCACTTCTCTAATTGTTGTTGTTTTATTCATGGTTTCATGCTTATTCAGCCGAGCATTTGGTACCGGTTTTTTTGTCCCTTTTTTTATCACTTAAAAGCACGACTTGATTTCGTCCTTTGTGTACGTGTCAAGAAATGGTCTCTTGTTCCGGCTCAACTTCTCTCATTAAGTATTAAACAATAGTCCTTTTGTTATTTGTAGCGTTAAGGAACTTTGGCCGAAGCGACGCGAAAAAGTTCGTGACTAATCGGAAAAAATTTTCGGTGTATTTTTAACCTCTCTCTGCGTACTTTGTTTTCTTATCGGACAGTTTGTTATCATGCTCGTGATAAACAAATCAGACTTCCGCTGCGCGGTCGTCCGAATTTGTTATCACTCGTATGATTACAGACCGAATTGGACTCCACTCAGTCCTATTACCATTGCTTATTATGCACACAAAGAATTAGGTCTGACTTGCGTAGCGCGCGCGAGATTTGAACTGCTCTCGTGTATGTGTGCCCCGGGAAACATTTTCTTTACCCTATTTAATTAGTTACATAGCTTTGCCTCCCTTTTGACAATACCCGAGGTCCCTTGTCATTTAGTCCAATGAATACAATCTTTATTTTTCAGTGATAAAATTACAAAATCACTAAATAGCAGGAACGCTACTGCTTCTTTTATTACCATACCCCTTTATTTTGGTCGACTTCGTAGCCTTAGCCATGCTGGAGTAGGGTTTCGCGGTTACTGAAATGAAATGTATGTCCAATGCTAGGGTTATGCTGTTATGTTAGGGTCTCATGCTGTGGGTGCTGAAGTGAAATATATTAACTAACAATTCTCTAAGTACGTTCTTTTTCTAATAAATTCAGACAGAGGTAGTTAGCTATGACGTCTCCTTGGCGACGGTCTCAGTTGAGATTAAACGCCAATTGTCTTATAGCCAAGGAATTGAACATCGACCATCAGAAAATGTAAAATTTCTTTAATCAACCAGTCAGTAAGGTCAGCCAATGTTAGCCATCAAATCTATTTCATTGTATACTCATTAGAGGAAGAACTGATAGAAATAATAGGTTTGGTGTTAACGCCGAGTTTATTTGTAGCGTATACAAATGAATGCTACATCCGCCGCTTACAAAGTGCTCCGCTCCGGAGAAACAGGCAAAGAACGTAACTGCTTGAGCAAATTTTTTTGTGGTCTCGAAGACCGCGACCTTTTAGAAAAAGGCTCGAGTTAACGTTGAGCACATTCTTTTTTTGGGATAATTAAAATTTACAGGATTTCCTTCGGCTTATAGTAATTTGACCCGCGACACACCTAAATTTAGATTAAGCAAGACCACCCTTAAATTTAAATCACTCGACACTAATTTTCTGTCACTAATGGAGAGCCAATTTCATTACTTCTGGTTTTCAGTTTGTTCACTGGACTTTAGCACCTAGATATTTCGTCTGGGAGAACTATAAGGTAGTCATTATCCCGAGATCTTTATATATTTGCAGAAAAACTCATTTGTGTATTTCTTGTCATTCTCCTACGTTGTATTGATAGTTTGATAATTCCAGTCATCAGCAATGCAACAATCTCTCTATTTTCCCCTTGGGAAGGAGACATCAAGACAGCTAATGACCGGATGATCTTTTCCGCCGTTGTACATTGTCCTTTTTAAACACAGGAACCTATTTCGAGCGGCAGAGGAAGTTTTGACACTTTTCTCAACTTCACCACTCCCGATGTAGGTAGTTCACGTCATCGGCGACGCCCGCATTAATCTGGCCCTTGCGTTAGTATCATGGAAAAGTAAATTCTTCTATTTTGAGGTCATATTGTCTCATTCTTAAAGCAGGGATGATGAGTGTGATAGGAAAAGTCTCACGTATAGGCTTTTTGAAAGGGTTTTTTGGATGCTTTCGTTTTACAGTGATACTGTTGTTGTAACGACGTTTTAAATATGTAATACTGTGGTTTGATCATCCGGGTGAGTGTAGTCCTGAAAAGGACTGTTGTCAGTAGTGGTGACTGACGATTTGACAACCTAAGCGGAAGTTATCATCAGCGTCAAGTCTTATTATCATCACTTGACTCTGATGATGACTTCCGCTCAGGTTGTCGAAACGTCAGTCACCATTACCGACAACAGTTCTTCTGGCTCAGGACTACACTCAACCAGACGATCAAACTACACTATTACATGTTACCCTCGGGTTGAAACCATTTACTGTTTTAAATATAACAAGCGCTTCTTCTGAAAAGTAGTTTTCAAGTTGGAACTGAAAAACTAATTCGTAAGAGCAATTTAAAATCAATGTATCTTTGGGTAGGAAAACTCTAGACACCATCAGTTTCTTTGTTGATCCTCCACACCCCAAAATCAGTACGCATGCGTACGCAAGCTCTCCATACTGTTCCTTATACATTTCTAATGTTAGTTACAAGTCTTTCAAGAAAAATTTGTCTAGCATTGATGTTTGATTTAGGATTTTAAGGGTCAACTTCATCTGTCAACGAGTTCCGATATCGATAAAATGATTGTCAATGTCGGATGTTACGAGAAGATGTATTTTTCCCAAATTGCCATCAAATTTGATCGTGTTTGAGATTTTTTTTGCGTGAAAAAAAACTATATTAGCGTATAGAGTGGCATGTTGCTCGCACCAATCAGATCGCCGCATTAGGGTATGTATCTCGTACCAATCAGATTGCCGCATTAGGGTATATTTTTTTTGGCACTCAACATCTAAGCGTGAACACAACAATTAAGCTGATTCCATAGTTGTAATATGTTCACAAAGTTAAAAAAGTAAGATAAAAATGTTCGAATCTAATACTTTAACGACAGAAGAAGAGGGCTCTTATTCGAGAGGAAGCCTGTTTAAAATTCAAGTCAACTAAACTGGCGTTTATTCAAGGGAGGTGCTTATTCCATGAATTACAGTAGGTTTTTTTCCGCTGTGAGATGTCTGCAGTCAGGTCCAGGAAAAGAATATAACTCTTTGCATACTTATTGACCTTGCTGTGAAAGTAGAAGTTGCGCATGTTAAGTTACCAGTGTAAGTCAAAAACTTACGGAGTACTCTTCCCAACATTTAACATAACTATTCAGCTCTTCTTTAATACGGTATGTCAACTCTTTACGTGTTTAGTTTAAACTAAAAAAAACTGAAATAACTTTATTGTTTGCTGTTGCGGAGTTTTCTTCGGTCGCTTTTGTCGTTGGCCATGGAACTTTATGCTGTAGGAAACAAAAACATCACGCAGTAACTGTAATTAGAAGGATCTTCCGGTCAAACTGTAACAAACTTACAACTGTTTGGTAGATTATGAACAAGAATACAACTTTCCCCAATTTTCAAATGACTGGATCAACACATTTAGTCGTGGATAACTGGTAGTTTCCGACTCTCTCAAGTTTCCAACGCTTAAAATACGGTTAGGTAGAAACTTGGCGATCTTCATGGTCTACGCTATGAAAAAACACAACGATTCATAATGAAATCCAGTGAATGAAAATTTTGGATAATTCAAGAAGAACAAAGCTCGTTTTGCATCTGTACGTCAGATACCGCTTAAAAACTTGGTCCGAAACTCGTGATTCAAGCAAATATGTGTCAAATACAATAAGGATATGTTACAGCTTGGGTTCTGGGAAGATAGGGATAAAAACTTTTGTTTTGATGAGACGAGTCCACGTGAATCCAAGATGGCGGACCGAAGGGCGTGTTCTGTCCAAGGTAGCGCGGCTGGTCAGGGAAGGCACTGACTCTTCGTTCCCATACATCGTGTTGATAGTCTAGAATGCTTGGATGATCAAATCCCTGCCCTATACTTCCTGTAAATGTAAAGCGGGAAAAATTGAGGTTAAATTTAGACTTGTCTAGAATGTAAGGTGATACATTCAAAATCATTTTGAACTAAGGGCAAGAGGACTAGGACATGTTGTCTTGCAAGAAAACGTAAATCTTGATGTAACACCAACAAAAACATGTATGGTCGTCGGTGTGGAAAACTAGTATTTAATTCCTGCACGGTATTGGAAGGATTTAAAATGGAAAAGAGGAGAAAACCGCTGAGGACTTAAGCGCTCCCAAGTAACCTTTTTTCGTATTAAGGGTGATTTTGAAAAGCTTTTCAAGTCGTTTTCACGCGGTATTTCGCGACGAAAATTTTTGCTAAAAGACACAAATTTGAAATTGATAATTTGTAGACAAAGAAGTTAGATTAAAACTAAACAGCAGCAATTAACAAGGGTAATTAAAGAAAATAATGAACTTAAAACGATGTTCTAATGTTTACAAAGTCATGCACACATCGGCACATGGCCCCTTCATGGGGATTCTACGTCAGTTTTGTTTAACTCTGACATGTTTGTTTATCGGTGCAAATCTGGCTCGAGAGTGAGAAGATTGAATAAAAGAAGTTTATTCCGTTCTTGCTGCATACGTTCGTTTTGTTGTTGTTAGTCTTTGAATAAATCTACAATCCGCGGCCAAGTTTCGTAAACTAGGTGAAGTTTAGTATCAAAATGTACGATAATGTATCTTTTGAGGGTTTCGTATGACGCAACCAAATCAGATCTACTAGATTTGTTATTAATACTTTTTGGATAGATACTACCACAAAGTTTGACTCCGTGGTTATATAAAACATTTCATTTTTGTTAAGCTTCATTATAATAGTAGCTACGTCCCTATAAATAGTACTTAATAGTGTCAAACTGGAGTAAATATTCTTAGCGCGGTGGTCTGCCTGTTCTTGCGTGTCTGGATGTAAGAATGTTTGCTGCTGTACTTACTGTAAACTACCCCGGGGAACTGTCTGAAAAGGAGTTAATTAAATTACTTTTTTGCAGTTTAGAAAATTACGCCTTATTGCCTTCATACCTTGCAATCTTGATTTGACGCCAGCAAGCATCTGATGACCAAACCTTTCGTCGTTTCGAACTCTGTTTTCATTCCTCAACAATCTGTCTATGGAGAACCTGTCAAGATCGATATTTCCCTTGCCCTGTGAATATACTTCTGGGTTGGACTTAATATGAGGGTTGTTATCAACGCCAGATCTTAACGTCTTGCCGATAGCGTCTCGTGCATGTACTTTGCTTTCGCGTCCGTCTAAGTAAGCCTTCTCTTTCACTTTTGGTTGACGCTTTCTTCTTCTTCTGAAATTGCCATCTTCGCTGACATATTCTTCTAACGAATCAAGCAGCACTGTCCAGTAATTATCCTTTCCCCAAGGCCGCGACGGATCCTTCAAAATTTTTACAAAGCACTTATTAAACGACAGATTATGTCGTACCGAGTTCTTCCAGCCCCGGTAAGATCCGCGGAAAAACTCGTAGTTCTCCACCAAGTGCTCGTTGATCTCAGTGAGCGTTAACTTCTTTCTCGGTGAGCTGAGGATCGCTGTTGTTATAAGTGCAATATACGAGTGGGGGGGCTTGGGTTGATCAGCTCTGCGGCCGGCCTTTTTGGTCTTTACCAAACTGTCGGACATCATTTCCAAACTGTTGTTTGTTTTGAGATTAACGCTAATGCTTCTCAAGGAGCTCTTTGCACGAAACTGTTCGCGTTATGTGATATAACTAAGCGGATCACCTCCAAGTCACTGAGTTGTCTATAGCGACTGTTACAATTCACAAGTGATGCTTTTATGTACTTGTTATTGCACAAACACAGGAAACTGTCAAACAAAAGCCAGCACACCACCCACAAAGTTTAATTAAAAACACGCTGAGTTTACGCACTCCGCGACTTTGAAGAAATACCGTGAGTGTCTGATGAAACTCGACACCATAAGCTACTTAATTCAACCGCTATCGTAATGATACCCTCTCAAATTTTTCTGATCCTTTTTTAAAGTTTTCATTGTTCATGACACAGAATTATTTAAGCATGCATAAGATCAGTTTGTTCATGTAAATTCGCTTGCCTTTCAAACTGGTTACAACTGTTCGTGAAATTATCTCGATGGTTATAAATCATCAAATCATTTGTAATTTAGATTAAAAATGGCGAGAAGGCTTTTATGAGTAATTTTTAAAACAATTAACCTCTGATCCCCAACAAAGGATTTCAATTCCTTCCTTTTCTTTCTATTTTATTAGCAAAGTATTAGATCATTACGATAAAGCCAAACTGTTATACCTAATCAAGTCCCAAATCCTTGAAACCCAATTCAAATATCCGAAGTAAACAGGGACACTGTGTTTAAGGGAATGTTTTTCTCTGGAGCGCGGAGGAAAATCAGGCTCCCTTCCTGTCTTCTTAATTGCTTTTTTCAAAAGGAATCGATTAACGTTATCGAGTTATCGCAAACCATATCCCCCACGCCTTAAACAATTAATATTCCTCAGAACTACCTGATACAAGAGACTGGGAAAAGATTTCATTCCGAACGGAAGTCCTATTTTTAAATGTTAGTGAGAATAAGCTCTGTTGATTACTCTTGTGAAAAGCAGATCCTCATTATCACTTTTGATTTGAATGTAACACTATCCTTGCACAGTTATAACACTTTGTTTATTTAAATTTCTTAAAGAGTGCCTTTAAAAACATTGCCAGTTCACTCCGTTCCTTCTTCCATAAAAAAAATTCATCTTTTTCTGTCCACATCCTTAATATTTCCGATGACAAGCCTTTGAAATACCGGCTTATGGTTTAGAAATTGTGCGCGATCGTTTTCTAGAGATCATTTCCGCAGATATCCGTGATATTCAGTTTTTAATGGGAAGAGATTTCAGTACAATAGATCAGCTTAGAATCTGCATTGTAGTCATATGCAGAATGAGGGTTTTTTTCAAAACAATAACACCCGATTAGAGATTCAATTGATCTTCTCCAGAGTAGCGTTAATTATTTATAACAACATGTCATTTGTTAACGTAACTTAAGTTAAAGGGGCTTAGACTTTTAGAAGGATGTGTAGCAGTTTCATGCAACCCTGACCCCAACTCATTATCTCGTCCTGGCACTGGTACTTGGTGAAACAACGGAGCTGGAAAGGACTTCATTAATTTATGGATATCCTAAGTACACTGTAAAAGAAAAACGTGTGCTTCGGAAACCGGGAATACCTAAAGTCCTTCAAAGTTCGATCCTTATCATCCTGTCCAATTTTACCATGTATTTACAGAAATTAGTTCTACAGTCGGAATCTGTCAAATGCAACAACTCAAATGCAAAAACTTTAAACAAACCCATGCTCACTCTTGCTTGTAATTCTATTAGTACCCGAGTCTTACGAAAACACGGTACAACACTTGTTATGCATGTAGACAATCTCTAGTTCATTGTTCAGTAAGTCTCGAATACAACCAGAAGAAAAAGGGCAATGTAGGCTTACCAGTCTATCCATCATTACCACACATACATTAGATATCAGTCGGAACAGTGCCAGCTCCAACATTTCAGATGGTTTATCAGCTGCCAAATTAAGACATTCTGTTTACCACATTTTACTCCAAAACCAAAACAACTTCGGAAACAAAAAAAGATTCTCTTCCAGAAAATTGGAAACTTGACAATATTATTTTGATAGCAACAAAATATTTTGCGTTTCCTCCCTCCGGGATTTAACGATCTTGTACAGCGTAGATTTTGAATTTCAAGATTTTCTAGAATTTATAGTCTGTAAGCAGTCCAATTTTCGCCTAATCAGGAAGGGGTGAACGCGCTTCTATATATTCATGGAATTTAAGGATAAAAACGCATAACGACCTTCCATTAAAACTGCAGTCGGAAAGGATTTATGAATTAATAGTAAGTAGGCGGTCCGATAGGTGAGGTTTAATGAACTGGATTATTTATTGCATCTGAAAAAAACAAGAAAATAGAAAAAAAAAACGCAGCTATACACAGCATCTCTTTGTCAAAGAGTAATCAAATTCTGAAGCATTGTCTCTTGCACGAATCTCTTTCGGAGCAGTTGTTTACAGAAAGATTTTTCAGGCGATAATGCGTTTAAAACTAACTAGACACCTCGTTTCACATACCAAATAAAAAATTAACTGTAAACTTGGAAATTAAATCGTTATTTTCCTTCAGCAAACCACAAAGGAAATCGAGGGTTGGCAATGTCGTAAACATTTGCCGATTCAACGAATGGATATTCCTTCGAGGAAATGGCTCGGTACCTGCCTTTCCTTGATCTTAAACGATTATGTATTTTTAATCTCCAAATTGTAATCTACACAGTACACACGGAGAAACTGTGTGGATCGTAAATTGTACCCGGAAAACTTATTTGAAGCTGGAGAGGGTTTTATGTGGAATAATCCTTGTCAATGTAATAACAAGTAGCAAATACATACTTCCATTTTGTCTTGGAGAACTCATAGATCACAAAAAACATTTTTCTGTTAACGCAACAGAACATTAAGAAAAAAAGAAACGCAATTTTTAACTTGTATCTGTTGAGCTGCACAGAGGGAGCTACATGAGGGAAAATTCTAAAGATATTTCAAATGAATACAAACACCTTTTATTTTCTGCTGGACCAAGGATGGAAGAAAATCCCCCAAATCCGCAAACATTAAAACCCGCAAAATTCCATGTCATGTGGTAATTCATCTTCCCCGCCCATGTTCATACAATTTCACGGCCTTAGTTTTAAATGATTTTCTCAATACTCCGTTCAGTAGTTGTTATGTCTCCCTCATTTAAAAATCCAACTCAATGCATGAGAACGCACTTCATGGTTTGAGGGTGTTTTCTGATTTTAGGCTTGTTCTGCCTTTCGTCTGACTGAGTAATATAGTTTCAGTTGCGGTATCCGTACGTGATATAATCAAACAAAAAATTGCGACCCGTTTTTATTTTTCTCTTCTTTTTTATGCGGAAATGGCTTAGATAGAGGGAAAGGTTCCATTCCTGCCTTCTCCTTAGTCCTGTTGTAAGTTTTAAGCTAATGGAATCGCTCGAAGTGTATTTTACATAGTCACCAGTCAAAGGGTAATCCAGTTTGAATTACTTTATGCCAATTTGAAGGTGATAACGTCATGTTTGTTAAATTTATAACAAATATTTATATGCAATGATTACTAAAAGATTGCTGACTGTGCAACGCAAGATGACAATGACACTGGTTCTGTGATTCAAAGAATATCCCTGAGCTGCATGCCTTCCCAAAGGTAACTAATAGGGTAATAATCTATGAGATTAACACTTCGATCCAAGGGGTAAAATTTTGAAAGGAAATTATTAATGAACTGATAATTACATAAAACGTTTATCGTTCTCCAAAGGTGTCAAACCTAATTACCTCCAGGTGTAAATATTATAAACTTCCCCTTTTACCACCAAGTAACTTAGTAGCTCAACGACTTGGTTTTCGGTGCCTTTCGTAAACTTACCACTTAAAACATGCGTGTTTTGAGCGCGAGTTTAAAGTGGTCTTTGGAACAAATATGTCACTAAAACATGTCACCAAATTCGGCGTTTTTATAGACTTGATGAGCTCAATCTTTTAACTAAACTTCATCGTTTTCTTCAACGAGCAGAATTATCCTCAGGGAACAGCAAAACATTAGTTTGGTTAGAAAGAAAAGAAGGGAACTAGGAATTATAAAACAAAAAGGAATAAGTATAGTTAAGAGACTGTTCATGTTTAAAGGGGAGGTGAGGCAGCTAATATTTGGGGGAGCGATATTTGGAATATTTTGAATAACCCCTCTCTCCATTATTTCAGAAAGTCGCTTGACAACAGAATTAAGCAAATTAAGAACCTGTAACCGTTAAAGCGCTACAACACTTAGTCTTCCATTTGAACGTTATGGAATACAATAAAGTTATGTTTTTTGACTAAATCAGGATAATTTCGTGTTTTTGCCAACTTTCCTACCACTTTTTTTCATCTAATTTCTTCGCCTGATCCTTTCCCTCCTTCACTTTGAATGGGAGAACCTTCCCTTTGAAGTCTTCTTTCGCTTCCCTTCTGCACCACCCGCAACTGCCCCATAAAATACGAACGGTCCCTTACGATCATAAAGATTGGCACAGGTTGCGTCGTGTAAATTTGGAAACACTAAGTCAAAGTTTCAATACGTAACAATTGTGTCGTAATTTCTTTCACTGGAGTTGTACTTTGTTTTTGTACGTACGTAACAAAATCAGCCCCAAAAAAAGAAATGACTAAACGAGCATCTCGGAGGCAGGTCAGTCTGATATGAAAATAATCCAAGAATGATCTAATCTCACCATCAAAAATTAAATCATGAATTTTAATCAGTAATTTTCTGTAGTTTGGTCGACAGAGCTCAAGAGAAGAACCTCCGTTTGTTTTTAAAATTATCGACTTAAAAAAACTCCAGCTGTGAAGTTAATGCAAACACGATGTGAGAATCACCTGAATGACAACTGATCTCAACCCTAACAGATGTACTCATCGTGTGCTAATAATGGCGGCTTCCCCATCACATTAAAGGTTTAATGTGTAGGTGTATTTGCGAACGTTTAGTACCAGTGCGCCTTGTTATCACCCCCCCCCCCAGTCCCCCTCAGAAAAAAGGACTAGATAATTGTAATTCGTTAACTGGATATTGGTAAATTTATGAAATACAAGTATATTTTGCCTCTAACTTTGACACCTTTAGTCTTTTTTTTCCCAAATGCTACAAACGAGGGGGTCACGTGGGATGAATTTCAGGTCATTTGTATCGGAAGGACCCCTTGTGTTGGGAGTTTTTGTTATACTATAAACCAGGAGCCAAGTGATGGGCTCCTGTATAAACTTTGTATTTTAGGCAAATCGAGATGACAGATATAACACCTCTACATAGCTTGATACTTAGAGTGATATTGGAAGGTCACGTGAAATCTGCTCACAAACAAGAACGCACCTACAACGACGCAAAAATGCACTTTTCGAAGTGGTGTCAACATTCTCGACTTTCGTGAAGCAGTTCAGTTCAAGACGTTAAGATCAAGATCAAGTTCAACCAATCTTAGCAATACTCTAAAGGCGATAAAAATTTACCCTTGGTGCCAGAAGTCACTTGCCAGCCTCGCGTATGTGCCAAGTGATAGTTTCTAGACGTGACCACTTAAAGTAGTGATGTAAAGGCACGTCTCTTTGTCATTCCCGGGGGAACATTCTCTTACTAACCCCGAACAGTGTTTGTGCTACCCAGCAAGGTATGGTTATCGTATTCTTCAGTAATAAACGGGGGTAAATAATTTCATCATATGGCATATTGAACAGGGTGCAACGTACCCTTCTGGACTGAAAGCATTGGACTAGGAGCGAACTTAAGCGACGATATCTTAGAATCTCCAGGAGATTGATGCGCTGGAATATAAACAACCTTTTGCCCGAACAGGGCACTGGACAGGTTTTGTTCAAAAAGGGTCGGAGCGTGAAGGCCCTGACGGCGCAACCCAAACCAAAATCTTCTATATACCCTCTAACAAGGGCTGATCAGATATTACGCCGGTATGCTAAAGTCTGCCTGTAAAATTGAATAAACTGTTGTAACTTACAATATAAGGACTTTGGACTTTGGTTTTCCAGTGCGAGATAAGATTATCACAAAAGAATATAAACTGTATTCTCTTGACTATATCAGCAACTCGAGCTTTTTCAGACTGATTCTTTTTGGTTATAGAGTAACCATTAAAATGGTACACTAGGGTGTGAGGCATTCAGCTACATCATAATGGAGAACAACATTTAAAGAGGAAATGCAAAATCATGCTTTGTTTCGACCAAAAGGGAAATTAGCAATTCGTTCCATTGAGAGTAGGTACGGATAAGGTTGTCTTCCGCTGAATGCAAAGAATCAATACCTCTCTTGGACCTCCTCCTTCTATCCGAAAAAAAGAGGAATACGACATCGTTTGGTATAGCTAGAGATATTTTAATTCTTCTCGTTGTGGTGCACGAAACCGGAAAAACTGAAGCAGACTTTGAACCTATTAATCGTATCGATAGAGAATAAAACATGCATCAGATTCCCTTCTCCGTAATAACCTACAACACACCACTACCGATCAATTATTTATGTTTTATTCTTTAATTCTTAGATCCACTTGCCTTTGAATACTTTTCCAAAAATCGAAAAGAAATTAATTTTTTAATTTAGTTCCTTAAAATTGAACCAGTGCTGGTATGTTCTATCGAGATATTGGTTTCGAAACATCAGGCCAATCAAATTTATTTTCATTACGATTTCTGTGGAATCATGTTACGGGTCATACATATGCGTGCTTTGATAAGCAGGTAAACAAGTATGAGACACTGGATAAGCCAAAGATATGTTGATGGAGTTAAGAAAATTCGTCCGTCTCTCGACCTTACACTTATTTCTCATGCAAAAGCTTGATAAATAACCTAGACAACTACTTTCCTTTTTTTCTCAAGCTCTACTGAATGGCAAGTAGACAGTGCTACTTTAACCTCAAAATTCTTAATAAAGGTGCTTTTTTCTGAAGAAATCCAGGTATAAATCTCAAGAGATGACAAACGTAAATCCGTGCAAATCTGTAGTTAAGTACCGCCAACCAGTTTCTAATTCTCTGTCATCACAACTTGAATAAATATCGGTTTTTTAAGGACTTTTACATATCTGATGATAGCTTTGTTCCTACTTCTTTCGTTAAAATCAAGGATTATGCGAATATACAAACGTGACGCAAGGCCAACCATAAACGTAAAGTAACATTATACTTGGAACAGTTGCTTATCGTTCCCAGGTCCAGTTTTCCAGCAGTCCATATTCAAGGGTTTATCCAGGGATGTGCTTACCTTCAAACCAAGGTACATAACTGATACATATATCGATGAAGACAAAGTCACGAACATCGATGCACTAACTTATTTCGAACTAGGAGTAATGAACCAAACTACTCCGTATATTCTCTACTCATTAAAACCATACGATTCCTGAACGCAACGTTTGTCTTAAAATATCTTTAAAATATCAATTATCATCTTATCAAACTATTTATCACTTGCATCCACCGCAGAATAGCATCAAACAACACCGCTGCCCCGAGTTTTTGACCTTGTGCTGTCAGAAAATTAATTTGCGTGATAGCTCATTGATATGGAGCGTTCTTCAAGGAACGAGACCTAATGGTGCCTTGATATAAGGACTCTTGAAGAGATGTTATCTATGGGTTTAAACAACTTTCGTGCCATATGTTTAAACGAACATCTTCTCGCCCTGCATCGAGGCACATTTACCTTCTATCACTTTCCAGATGGAATTCGTTGTGTCTTCCGGTGAGAAAACTGGGGTTTGAAGCTTGGTTTTAGTAGAAAGACCACACACAATTTTGCATGACAGTAAAGCGTGGATACGAAAGATAAAGAAGAATTGAGAATAATCCCTGCTGACAGGGAATGATGACATGCATTCCATCTCCTATCCTGAAACTGTCCCATCCCAGACAAAGTCGAGTCACTCGTGTTCTCTGTTTAAAAAATGATCAATTTTCTCAAAGAAAACCAAAGAAGACCAAGTGAAAACCAAACTAACCTTAACTGGAGGTTTCATCTGAAGATGCAGCATAAACTAACGAATAAAGTGCATTTTTTCTTGTTATCATCCTGTTCTCACATCGTACCGGTGAAATTTTGATCTTGTACGTCAAGACCTATTTTCAGAGATCATCCAATCCTTCATCTATAAGACTTACATACTTGATTTGATGACGAGAAACAGAAGAATAACAAGTAATTCTCGAGTGATAACTTGCACAATAACATACAATGTTGCCAGTCTTCAAGGAATTCCTCCATTTATATGGTTTTGTATTGAACTATCAGATTAATTTGCCCCTTTAGTTTCACGGGTATAATATGGCAATAACTTTCGCTCAGTTTATCTTCAGGCTTGACATAAAAAAAACAGTCTAGCACTTTCGCACATCTGCTAATAAAGCCAGAGTCCTTTTTGCTTTCTACCTGTGAACATCGTCCCGAGCCTTAATGAACGTACTACGACCTTATCTTCTTTAAATAAACTGGATCAGTATTTTGGTCAAACACAGAAAGAATCTCCACCCCTTTTTTTCAAATTCTGCGGGACAGAGAAGAATATAACACGTACACTATCATTCGTTTCGACCAAAATTTAATTATTAATAAAGAAACAAGCATAAATGTGGCGAAACTAACAAAAACATACATTGGCTCTATTCATCGCCATTAGTACCTGTATACAAGATATTGCTTAGGGTACTTGACCGTTGTGGCGGTTTTTGTCATGAACAGACGAAAAATGTCGCTTGGTTAGACCTCATATTGCATAAGGTTTTGATGCCTTTCTATCTTGTGCTGCGGGAAGATGTCCTCAAGTCTCTTGATATTTTTGTAGTCATTAATTTTTTATTCCTGAGTGAAATTCTTTGTCCCTAAATTATTTGGTTGTGATGCACACAATATCTGCAATACTTCACTGGTTTTATGTTGTTTGTCTATTCAGGGGTATTCTTAAAATCCTCTTTTGGTAAGGATAAATATATTGATGTTAATCCTCTTAAGGACGAGAACTCTGAAACGTCTCGGCAAAAATTGACGCGGCCCTAATTCTTCCGAGAGGAGATAAATGTAATCGTATGGCTTAAATTAAACTGAAGATTTCCTGATTGCTGAGGGTGACTTGAGAGCGGTTTCACTGCATTAAGCAAAGAAAAGGTTCGGGATACACACATGCAATCATCTACATGGCACTAGGAAGGAATCATCGATTTCTGTTGTTGTTTGTTTTGAACAACTGCAGGATTTTATGCTATGGATTGAATTGACACGTTTTATAGTGTTCAAAAACAAACAAAGGTGAAAATGCATTTAATGATGTAGGTGTGCTTATAAAAACACATGTGACATATGGGGTTTTGGTTCAGGGCGCATGGAGAAATGGCTGACACTCTTGCAAGAGAAACTTGTTTCAAACCAGTTATGACATCTGCTGGTTACGAATTTGAACATCCATTTGGCTACTAAGCTCTAATCCCTTGCCCAACCAAGCAGTTGACGGCATAGTAAGTGATAGTTGATATTCTCCTTTCACTTGACAATATAGTGGACAAAGAAAGACAGAAAAAATTTTAGTGGTCACTCTTCGAGCATCAGAGATACAGCTGAATACGTGACATTGAAAAATGACATTATCACATCAAACTCTTGCTCTCGAGAACTGATAAAAAATTTGCCCCTATAACTGCCAAGTAATTTCATTAAAATTATTTGAGGAAGTTTATTGTTGCATCGAGACAACATTCTTTGGCATATAGGTGTGTTTAATTCTCAGTAACCTGTTTGTCTTGTTTGACTGCAAGGAGACGTTGTATGTTATATCTTACGCAAAGCAATGATATGGTGCTGCCCCATTAAATACTCCTTCAAACTAAATTGGTATCCTCTAAATTTAATTGTTCATCTCTTCTTAAGGGAATTCAGGAATGAAAATACAAAATGAATCTAGAAGGCTCAAAATACAATCCCTTAATTTTACTAACATGTATTAAACAGCCGAATGTCTCAGCCACTAGGATTGTGTTTCCAGTAGCACACTCAGACTTCAATGCGGAAAACTGCGTGTAGGCCAGATATTTTAGGTATTTCCACATATGTCTAGAGATCAAGATAGTCTTTATTCAACAGTTAGAATTGTTACGTGCAACACATGAAAGTGTTTTCTTTCTAAAATGTAAGGTATGTAATTGATAAGAAGGTAGTCTCGCCTCGTCAACATTTCTTAGACAACCTGACGTAATTTGGGAGTTCTGGTATGTACACCTCAGCCTTCTATGACATCGTCAAATATCCTAAATAAAAATTTTATGTTACTGAAAATGACCAGTACATTCTGAACCTTTGACTGTGCGGTTAGAACTTTTAGAGGGCGTAGCCTTCGAACGGGAGTTTAATTTGAGCGGATACTTCCCACTTTGCCTGTTTGCTGACACAGTCAAGTTGCCCCACATTTTGCATGAAACTGTTTTCTTAGCAGAACTTGGATACAAATGCGAAAAATAAGCTTGTACTTAAAAACAAATCAGATAAACTGAAAAATACTTTATTCATAATGGTTAATATGTACAAGTATACTATGCTTTAGGAAGAATTTCAAATTGAACAGTGAACTGCAAATTTAAATTTTGGTGTGGTATACCTCAGTTTATAATTATACCGTTCTTTTGTCATGAAAAATCGTTTCTATTTGTCTCTCATAGTTGGTGAAATTGCCTCTCTTTGCTGGAGAAGTCGGTAGTTTAAGACACACTTCCTACCAAGCAATTACAAAAATAATGTCGAGAATTGGAAAACTACATAGGTACAGCTAATTTCTTTACCTGCGCATGCATGGTCGTCCTATACACTTCACTGCTACATGAAAAAATACCTTAAGCAATTTGTTTGCAAAAATCAGTCTAATAAATTATTCCAAAATTCATCTAAACAAAGGTGGCAAATTCTTTCAGTTGACCTCATAAAATCAGATCTGTAACTCAATTGATCAACCGCTCATTATAGTGAACTGTATTCACGCTTAGATATGTTCCTTTTTCCATCCGTAACAAGCGTGAAAATGCGTGGTAGCGGTTGCACACGAATGGAAACAGTGGCAAGTGTTCCACACTTCACAGCTGCTCGGGAAGGCTGCGTTAGGAACCATGGGTGCGCATAAATGTTCCTGTCTCTGAAAATGGTGGGGGGTCTCCGGTGCTGGGTGATAGCAGTGGCCAATGTTTCTCTGCGCTACCAGGGAACCTAGATAAAACAAAATAACAAATTAGAATTTATTTGGTTTAGCTCCGTTGTGCCTGAAGAACTTAATGAAATAGCACCTCGAGGCAAAAGTCCAGTTACAAGATCGAACTACACTGCGCAAAGACACCGATTGGAATAAATGTTACTTTGAGGCATAGGTTTGTTAAATTTCATTACTGTAGTACAAGTTTCCCTTTCTTCGCCTCCAGAAAGAGACTGACAGATCGTGTTATCGCCCTTTTGCGAGGATGTTGTAAGACGGTGAGAGGTATTCATCTTAGCAGACCGTCATCGCTTTTACCGAGAGAAATGTAATTCTGGTCGTCACAAATGAAGGTTTTGGTCGCAGGCATTCTTCACCCCCTTTGGCCACTAGGAAGGAAATTCTGATAAATTTTTGTCGAGTAATTTACACAACGATGTGGATTATATTATCAATCATGGATAATCCCCTTTCGCTTGCATTAAGCTTCGCGTCATCTTAGGGGTTTAACTTGTCACCAGTTACTCGTCTTGATTCATACAACACTTAAAGAAGAAAAATTGCCCCTCTTCAGCGTGGGATTAAGCTGACAACTTTGAACGGAATGGATCATTGTCGGCATTGCGTGTTTCAACTGAATGATAATTTGTTAGTGATTTATCACAGTTTGACGGGGATGTTTTCTTCAACTAAATTTTTGGTAACGAGTTTGGCTCGGTCGCCTTTTCTCAAATGGTGTATCACATTCATTACCACACAATAGCTCAAATTTAAAGACCAGTGTCCTGCCGTCTCTCTCTTGAAACAATCGTTAGAGAATACCTTCGAATTTCTGCAAATTGACATAGCTCTGTTTAGTTTTTTAATAGGACGGTAAAAAGGCATGCAACTTGAATTCAGTGAACTTGAGTAAATTTTTAAAGGATCAAGTGGCCCTTCCTCACAAATCTACATAAATAATTGAAGTGCTGATGATATAAAACAATTTAGGAAGCTTGTGAATCGAGGGCGAATCAGGAGTCGAAAAACGCCCACCCAAATCAATAAAATGACTAAGTAGAGTTCACGAAACAAACTGAACGTAAAGCGAGGAAAATTTTACTGAATGAAATTTTATTCGTCAGTTTAGCTTCTTAACCTTAAAACAAATCTTTGTCGACTAGCGATGCTTCATATGCTGAAATTTTTGCCATGGGAAGAAACTTAAACTGGGGCATCAAAACATAATTGAAAACTTGCAATCATCATGTCTTGCGAAGTAGGCTTGATTGCGGCTCTGCCTAGAACAACAAGAACTGGTGATTTGTCTTAATTGCACAAATGTGCCCTTGACAATTAAGTCTCATAACGGATGCATTACTCAACTGCCTGCTGTGTTCATTCAGTCAACAATTCAAGAGAACTGAAGTTTACTTTATGTTTAAATGTTTAGAATGTATTGTAAAGAATAAACTTTTCACCCAGCCTGTTACCAAATGCGTCACCGTCCACCTAAGGGGTTAGCTATGAGCTAATGTTTGCGCAACTAAAATTACATGAAGCAAAGTTGAATTTCATCAGTTATTCACATCTGGTTGAAGTGTAGCCTTCGCGGCTATCCATTTCCTACTCTAATAACCCCTGTTAAAATCCTATCATATTTTTCTAACAAACATATCAAGGATGAAAACAAATTGAAAAAAAACAAAACTAATGATATTTGTTTTTTTTATCTCATGCAGATTCAACTGCAAAAGAAAAATTCTTGTGCAGATGTATTTCGTCATCGTGTTTACTGTTCATTGCTCGTAGTTTATACTTCTACGTTTACTTCTTGGTCAGATACAACCAATAAAAAAGGAAATGTCCACACAGGCTTTCTCTCAGCTTTAACTTTCATTGATTCAAAAAGAGATTAATTTCAGTGACTAAAACTTTTCGATGATGATGAAAGTATTGCCAAGTTTGTGCGAAGTCGGCTGCCCTCACAAAACCGCCCCGGCATACATTCTTGGCAAGAGTTCTCGGTCATCTTTCAGTAAGGCGTGTGTTGCGGGTTTGTGCAAGTGTCTCAATACACAAAGGCGTTTAGCGCGTTGGCTAATGATATGGCTCACCCCGTTAGACTCGTAACCGTTGTTTAAAATTTGAACATTTAGCGGACTGTCTATCAAGAGTTTTTTAGATTGAGGGCAAAGTGTGACAAAATGAAAGTTTAGGTCCATGTACTCGAGCAACCCTAACCACTCGACGGAGAAGCATATATTCAATAGGGTCAAGTGTCTTTTTAAACTAAATTCGTGTTGAGTTTTTCAATGAAATATCGCAATAATATGGTTCGAACTTCTATAACGAGACTTTCGATTAACCCCGCTTCGAGTGGACCCGTTTAAAACAAGTAACCTTACCTTGCAATTTCGAAAGCAATGTGACATTAATGAAGCCATTTACTCAGTGATTTCAGTAAGTTTACAGTAAAGCGTCGTTATTTATTTAAGGCTAATGTGAAGACTGTTTACTCAGTCACTTATTGCACATCGTTTCTAACTGGTGAACGATTGGCTCTGGACCTGAAACTCTCTGTCAAAGTTACTCAAGTTCAGCTCAACTTATATGTTTATATGCACGTAATCAAAGACCAAGTATTACTCTATGAATTTACATTACACACCGGAAACTCAAACTCGCTATTAAACTTACCAATGTTTGGATTAATCACACTTCTATGAGGAAATTTCTGACTTCCTCTCCTTGACTTAAGTGAAGCCTCTTTTGCGCTCGTCTTCCCATCAGCTAGAATGCTTTCGATAGAGAACGATCCATGGAAAGGCTTGGGCGTTGTAGACTTGCTGACTGTAGGAACATTAGTGGATCGTACCCGATTCACACGGACAGGCTCGTAAGAGGGGAGCATTAAAATGTTTCTGCGCGCTACGTCTTGAATACTAAACTCCCTTACGGTGTTGTTCGGTAGGATCTGCTCAGTGGTAAGGCCATGTCCGAAATCTTCTCTGTCTTCCTTTTTCTTTGGTTTTCTTCTCCGCCTTCTTCTGAATGTCCCATCCGCTAGCAGGTAATCATGCAGTGAGCTTACCGTCCAGTAATTGTCCTTGCCCCACGGCCGCGCTGGATCACGCAGGATCTTAACGAAGCACTTGTTAAATGACAGGTTGTGGCGCACGGAGTTCTTCCAACCTTGATAAGGACCTCTAAAGAAAGCGTAATGGTGGACTAAGTATTCGTTTATTTCTGTCAACGTCAACTTCTTCCCCGGCGAGTTTAAAATCGCAGTTGCGATAAGTGCAATATAGGAGTGTGGAGGCTTCAAACGTTCCGCTTTAGACGATAGACACGGGTCGTTTCTCTGTTTGTTCGTGGACAGCTCTAAGCCATCTCTGTTGAGTGGCTCCATCTTCTGCGCTTTGACCGCAAAGTTTCGAGCGTGTGCAGTTTGTTTCGCGAGTTCTTTCAATAGACGGGCTTTCAGCAAGTCTCAGAGATGTCCATCTCTTATTTCAAACCTTGGAGAATGTAAATAATTCCTTTCTAATCTCGCTTCAACAAATCGACCAGCAATGGCTACAGCTTGATAGATAGCACCACCCACATAGGAATCAATTAGTGTTTATAAACAGTCAGAAGCCTGATCAATTAGACAATCGATTAAATTCGTGTTCTGTGTAAAGCGGATTTAAAATAAAGTACCTTTCTAAAGCTGTTACATTGTTCAGGTATTCGTCCGTTGGTGGTTTGTGCGGCGACTCCTCTCGTGGAGTGGTATTTAAACCCCTCTTAGCAGACACTATAAGCGCGCGCGCCCGGCGTTTGCATCTGTTCTGTGTTAACTAATGTTTTTCGAGGGTTGATTATCGAACATAAGCCGTGCTAAGTTTGGTTATCTCGTCACAGGATCGATAGCTGTATGCTCTGATTTCGAGATAATTCGATCGGCGCCATACAGTGAGACTTGCGCCTTTGTTTTTGGTGTTTAACTGAATCCGGTAACAATTTATCTTAATTAGTGTCATTAAGCGGATTGCAGGCGACAACGGCTCTTCGAAAAGTGCGATATTTTACGAATTTCGTTCAGCTATTGGTAGTCGTGTCTATGTACAAGGTCTTTTATTGATCCAGGTAAAATATATTACACTCCCAATCTGAGAAACTTTGCCGCGCGTTTCACCACTTTCTTCCATGCTCAGTTAGATTTATGATGCATGATTGCTTTAGGGTTGGAAGCGTACATTTGTTTCAGAATTGTTTCAAATTCTTAAGTCTGGCAAAATTAGAGAAGCGAGTGGAGCGATCCTTTTGGTGAGCAGTTAGTTTAACAAACACATAACTGTATATTTTTAGATTCCGTCAGCAAGAGAAGGTTGAAAGATACCTCACACAAGTTTCAACGCTTTGTATAGTGTAACGTTTCTCAGGCAAGTTTAAACAAGAAAAACGGTCTATTAAGGAATATTGTAAACTAACTATTCCTTGTATGGAAATGGGGACTTTGCCTTTTGCCTTTGTTCGGTTTAGAAGCTAAATCATAAGTCTCATTTTTCATTCCAGGCAGAGCTTATTACTCTTGATTCGAGTTTTGCGTTATTAAATGATAAGGCCTTGCGAATGGAGAATAAACTTCCACCATCGTCTGTATTGCGAAAACTGTATTGTTTGATCTCTTTTGTTTGTTTAATGGCTTTTCATGTGGGGTGCATAGCATCGATAATCGTACATCACACCTTATCAACCAATTACAGTCAACCAAAGCAGATGCTGTACGGGCAATCGAATGCACATCCTATGAAAATCTGTTTACCTGAAAAGCTGAAATATCGTAATTAAGTGCTTGTTTAAATGGTTGTTTGGATTAAAACACCCTTTACTGGCCATTGGGTCTTCAATATCAAAGAGTTTAAGGGTTCTTCGAGTGGTGCAAAACAACTGGTCATAAATTGTACATGCCTGATGTGTCAGTCAGGTATCTAGGAATACCTCAGTGTGTTTCGTTTCAGCTGTGCTATCTTTGGAAGATGGACAAAGATAAAGCTTGGAAACACGAGAAGCGGTATAAAAATTATCGCCACAAGAAAAGCAATCCATCACTGTCAGTCATCTATTCGGTCTGTTAGGATTCTTGCTTTGAGTTCTCCCGCGAGAAAGGTCGATTTTGTGTTTAGTTTACGGTTCATCTGACGATCGTAAGCTTTTGAGAGTATTAAAGTAAGCCTTTTAGCGCTTTATGTATAAACTGATTAATTGCAGTTGGCCGTTTTGGAGTATCTTCCTCTCGACACTACTTCGCGCCCTCTGTTTTCAACACCACTTTTCAGTCACTTTACCCAAAGTCTTCCTGAACATGATTACTTCTTGGTGATATTGAATCAAAGGTAAAAAGCTTGTACTTAGGCTTCTATTAGAGCAAACAAAATTTTACAACCGCTAAGAATATTAAAGGTCGGCTTCGAAGAAGCATAACAATCCTTGCGCAAAGGAAACGAACAGTTAGATAAAATATTGTTATCTAACGGTGCGTTGACACACCATGCACAGAAAAGGTTAGAAACCGACGAACGTCTTGTTTGGTGTTTCTTACTTGAACTGCTCTTTTCGTGTTAATGAGAAGTGTATCAGTGATTGTAAAGTTGCGCGCCATGATAGGTGGTGGTGGGTCAGTCAGGCTCACAAAGGGCTTCCTTTTGTGCCGCGCTTGGTTACTGTTTACTCTTCTTTTCATCGTAGATTATCCGTCCTCCTCCCAAGTTATTATCCTGATGAATTTAATCACAGACAGCCTGTCTCCGAATTGAAGATAATTTGAGAGGCTTTTTAATTAAGTTCTGATATGTTAAACTTGCGGTCAATGGCCACGAACAGAATACGTTTGCGGAAACCTGCCGAAACATGCTTTCGCAAAATACGTAGTACGCTAATTTGTAAACTGATGGTTTGATCTCTGTACTCTAAGCGCTATGATAGGGTTTAAAATGTTTTGCACGGCGTGGAAATATGGTTGTTTTTATAAGTGGTCCGCCAATTTATCGCAAGCGAGAATGAAAACCAAAACATAGATTGAAACAAGAGAAAACAAAGATCTTTAACTTCGTTAATGAATTGTCCAGGTGTTCGAAAGTAGAATGTTAAAACGAAACGATAAATTGTTGTTGTTGCCCCCAATAAACCTCTCTTTTCGTGTCTCTCTTTAAATAGTATCAGTAAAGTTTTTCCTTAACGTAAAGGAAATTCCGTAACAACTGTGAGATGGCTGGCTTCAGGGCAAAGGTTTGTTCGTGCGTTCTTGCTATCAGTAGACGCAGTAATTGAACTTGAGTCATGATGAATAAGGTAAAATAAGTTGTTCTTATCTTTATCATACGCTCAAATATGTGTTGGGAAGGAACAATAGATCGCAGCTAAAATACCACTTACTCGATCATAACCCACAAATAACGGAGGCGTCTCTTAAATTCTTCTGAAGTAACGATCGGCAATAGATATATAGCAGCAGTAGACATATAGCAGCTAGCATACCGGGAGTGCATTTCCTGAACTAATGGGCCAACGAGGGATCGCGACCATAAGTCACGAAATGCGTGAGTTTTTTCTTTTTTTT